GGATTTTCTGGGCACGCTACTGTATACGGGTATATTCTAGCTATTATGAATGACTTCCTGCAGGGCTAGACCGGACGGAAAAGCCACCATCGCCTGTTTTTAAATCCATGTGTCGTCTTCCGTTCCATTTCTTTCTCTAGGATCAATCTCGTCTATATAGACATTCGTGGAACCTTGCACTCGTCTGCCGAGCTCGAGAGCCTGACACTCTTAAAACAAAAACAAAACAAAAACGAAGCGAGCGTTAACTCCTGTTTCCCTTCCTTTTGACTCTGATGAGAGTAAAAAGAGCGGGAAATAGCTCTGATGTTTACTTTTTTTTTTGCTCTTCCAGAGCGAAAAAGGATGGAAGAATGAGCAAAAAGAGGAAAACTGGAGTGGGTGCTCGCCTCTTGTTAACCTCTCTTGGCAACAGAATTTCAACTGCAGAATGTATTGGGGAAATTTTAAGCTTTACTCGTGATGAATTACATCGTGCTGGATTTCTCGAGTTGTTGTCGGGAAGACGTCAGTTCACGATGCCATCTCGATGATCGTGGGAATAGATTGAAAGTGTCGCCCACGATGCATCCTACGGTCTTCGAGACTGCAGCTCGAACTCGCCGATGACACCGCCGCGATTCCACGCGAGTCGAATCGGCGACTCGCCATCGGTCGCGATCTCTTTCTCGACGGCAACCTCGATCTGCGAGGAATGACGGTCTCTCGTCCTTAGGTTCCGTTGGGATTACGTGGAACGAAACCTGAACAATCTGGAGAACTTCAAGCTACTGATGGAAAAAGGGAGTCGAGCGACCCGACTGAGGCCCGTGTTCCCATCCGAAGGCTACCCTGCCTGGACCACCATATCCACCGGTTTTCCTCTCTTTCTCTCTTGCCGTCGCCCTCGCGTCTCTCTGCCGACTGACGAAAAAATCTTCCCGGGACGACAGGAGTGTGGCCGGAGGACCACGGGATCATCGGGGACAACTTCCACGATCGTTCCGGGACGGGAGGTTCCAACAGGAATTTCGAGAGGCTGAACAACAGACTGACGGGGTTCGAACACTGGTGGCAGAACGCCGAGCCGATATGGGTCACGGCCGCCAACCACAAGAGATCCACGGCCCTCTACTTGTGGAGTCGATGCGACGTGGCTTACAGGAAAAATCGAGCCGCTAAATGCATTCCGTACGACGATGCGCAGAGTCGGGACATGTCCTCCTTGGAACAGCATCTGAAACCCGCCCTGACCGGCTTCGAACGAGGAGAAGTGGATCTCGCCATGGTAAGCTTCCGACTCTCTCCCCCTCCGTTCGTTTCCTTTTCGACGACTGCAGGGATCGTACGATGGACGCAGGTGTACAACGGGCACGTGGAAGACGTGGGGGTGAAATTCGGTCCGGATTCGGCACAGATGCAGCAGGCGGTGAGAAACGTGGACCGCATCCTCGGGACCCTCTGTCGGCACATCGAGAATACCCCCAGTCTCAACGAATCGGTAACCCGACCTTTCACCTCGGTCCCGTGCGGACGAGACGAACCGACGAGTGACTCTGAACGGATGGGCTAGTTGAACCTGATCGTGGTCGGCGATCACGGGATGGCGAGCCTCGAGAAGATGAAGAAGGTGATCGTGGAAGACGAGATCCCGAAATCCGAGGTCAAGTTCTTCGTCGGACGAGGGGGATACATGAACATCCTTCCGGAGGTGAATCGCCAAGATCAGGTAGGTGGAATCCGTGCGTCTGGAAGGAGGGTGACGAACGCGAGGATCGAAGTGACCCCCGACGTCTTTCTGCAGCTCTTGCGTTTACTGAAGAAGCTGCCAGGGGTGGAGGTGATGAAAAAAGCGGAGATCCCCGATCGACTCCACGTCAAGAAATCCCCGCTCTTCCTCGACGTCCTCGTCCTCGCCAATCAAGGTGGGGAAAAAAAACGGAGACCTCGTTCTCGAAGCGACGCGAGGGAAGGGGGAAGTACCGAGTCGGGCGCTTCTGGCATCGGCATGTCGCCGTCTCGAGGGAAACCAAGTCTTCCTCGTCCCGAAGTCACGATCGGCACAGAAGAGTGGTCGTTTCACGCTTAGCGTGTTTGCATGCCGTGCGTCCACACGCGTCGATGTTTGCGTCTGCACGATCGGCATCAGAAGGCGATACACGCGAGTCGGAACTCATCGAGATCCGTGTACCGAGGGGAAGCGTAACCATACGAGGAAAAACGAATGCGTGTCGACGTTCGGATTTTCGATGGAACCCAATTCGATACGTAAATTTTGCGTTTCTTCTATACCTGCAAGAGAATGCTGGCGTGCATGTGTACGCGTGTCCCTTCGCGTTCGAACGCACGGGAATTCGGATGCAGTCGCACGCATCGCCGATGGCACGCAAGAGACGCCAAGTGAGAAACAGCCTTTAGATTTCCCGTGACCATCGATAAAAGGGGGTGGATCAGGGATCGATTGGAAATTTTATTTACACGAGTTCCTGTTTAATCTGCGCTTGGACTCCGTCGGCTCCTGGTGAGGGAGCTTTTTTAATCGGAATGGCAAGCAGTTCGTGGCTCGTGGCTGCCCGTCGGACGAGTCGAAAAACTTCCCTACAGGAACGTATCATCGATGACATCGAACCCCTTAGGGAGACGTCTGGCTTCCTTGCGATGTCCCGAGAAAAAGCGTCTCGGCTGGACGTTTCGATCATCCACGGTCGAATCTCGACTCTGTGATCACCGAGCAGAAGCGTCCGAAATCTTCTGGGTTAGTATGTATGCGATGCAGGACCGGCCCGAGCTATTTCGGTTGCCGGTGCAAAGATACACCCAGTGCCCTGATCCTTCCTTCCTCCCTCTGACGACTCTCCAGGGAACAAGAGGGTGGGTTTGTGGGGACGGGAGAAGAGTCGATCCCTTGCGTCCAAAAAGACGCCGAAACGGAAGGCATTTCCATTTCGTGAGGAAAAACTGAGGGCGGCGTCCATCATCGCTCCGTTCAGTCGGTCACGTTTTGTCGTCCCTGGTGAATTTCCGCCCCGTGCGGGGACACATGCGGCACATGCCTAAGGCCTGCCCCGATGCGATGCTCTCACCCGCCTACGCCATCTCAGAATGACTGAACAAATTATAGCCTATTGCGTTAGAGCGAGATGAGACGTACCGAGGGTCGGTGTTTTTCCTCATATCCGAATGCGAGAGATTCCTAGTCTTCCGGCTTTCTATAAAAACCGGTCGGGAGGAAGAAAACTTCCAGTCAAACTAGGAGTGTTAGTAATTTTAATGCCGGTTCCAATGCATTTAACGGAACCAGGTGATATGTTGACGGTGACTTTCGATACCACGTCTCACGTCTCCCTGCGACAGAAACGGCGACTGTGTAAGAGACGTTCATCTATCATGTCACATTAGATGACGTTAAGTAGGGCGATCGGACACCATCATGATAATTCCGTGCGATGGGCATCCACTTACATGAGCTTGGATATCTCTGCCTTTTCCGTGGCACCGGCACGAGAAGGAAGAGAGAAAGTGAAGGGAAATGTAGGATTCAAGGGCGATGAGATCATCGTGTGTGGCACCAGGTGGTGAGGCAGCGGAACGGGGCTCCTTTTCTCCCTTCCATTTCGGTCATCGCAGTAGCATTATGGAAGCAAAGAGAGGGAGGGCGGTGCGAGAAGGGAAGAGGAGAGAGAGAGAAGCAAGCTCGTAGTAGAACATTGATCGTTTCAAGTTGCGCGTGCGTAGAAGTGACTCCTCCGTCAGCATGCGAGTGGCTCCACATATATACTATTCTGAGGGTAAGTCTCTCTCAGCAGTCCCGTGTGGTCTAGTGGCTAGGATACCTGGCTCTCACCCAGGAGGCCCGGGTTCAATTCCCGGCACGGGAAAGGATTTTTTTTCTTCTCTGCATTCACTGAATCCATTACTTTCGTTCACTGCTAATAAGCGAGGGAATCCTCAGAGAATGAAGTGAAAGAACGCAACGATGAAAAATGGATGAACAATTACGATGTGCTCAGGTCCCTGTAAAACCGCCCCTAAATTTGGAATTTTTCCAATCACGAGCGTTGACTTGCCAATCATTCTTTAGCATTCTCGGGCAGAGTTGTAAAATTTGGAGGATGGCTAGAGGAAGTCTTCCGTCGACAAAGTATGGCAAGCATGGCGCGAGAACCAATATTGAATTCTGAGTCTTCATGGATTATAGAGGTCTCCCACATGCTATCTATGCTGATGGCAAGCTCTTCCATTGGGCATTGGTGATCCCCCCCCCCCTCTCTTTTTCTAACAATTTAAATGCAAGATGCAGAATTCCCCTGCCCTACTTATCTGCGTCCTATTGTACCGTGCATGAATCTGCTCTGATTCTAAGACCTTAGATATTCCAACCACGCGATCGACGATTGCAGGGAGAGGCTTCGTTCCTCTTGAGAATAAAGGAATACTCATAATTCCGTACACAAATTGGAATCCCTGGTCATTCCTGTTTGACAAATTCAAGAGCGTCAAAATCGGTATGCGTGTTTGCAAAGCAGCTATTTGACTGCTGACAGATCGGCAATTTTTTGCCGAAGTTTTCAAGGCAGCCGTGAAAGAGGAGAAGACATGGAGACAGAATGTTTCTTTTTTTGTTGATAGTATGTGAATTGGTGATAAAGAAGAATTTCTGACAGTGATTACCCAGGGCGGTAGTCCGCAAAAATCTTTTCATGTCATTTGGCAACATTTAGGCAGGTACTCCTCTTTAGTTAGTGCTTCGAATTTATCGAAAAGACTTAAAAGAGCATCTTATCGATCACCGACTCGACATCGAAATCCTGCATTTCTACTTGGAACACTATTATTCCTCAGGGACGTATCTGACCGGGGTATCAGACCACAGGCAAATAGCACGAGGACCTGAAGTATCCGCACCTACGCCTGGTGTCTATGGCTACGATCCCCAATTCAACGACATGGCTACCATCTTCTTTGGACTAGGACCTGGTATGTGAGCTGGCATGTTTTCCTTGGAATCTTCTCTTCCTCGATTTTTTCTCGCACTGCATCACGTTGGCCATCGGCCAACGCGACTGCACTGGGTGATTCTGTTACAGTGTTAAAGGATGAAAATCCAAGCCAATCATCTTCACGGTTCATTCGGTTTCTTCACTCTCCATTCTTCCTCGCATTCGACACATTTTTAACCTCCATTCGTTCTTCCTGATCACGAGTCCCTTTACCCTGCGTGCATTCCCCCCGCTCTTCGAGGCGTACGTAGAGTCCATTGAATTCCCTTTCTCCGATGAAGGCTTCAAAGCCGGGGAGGAGGTGAGCGACATGGAGATGGTGGACGTGTATGCTGTAGTCATGCATCTGCTGGAGATGGAAAGTCCTCGAAAGAACATGACGACCACGGATGAGGAAATGGGATGGCAGAGGATTCGACCTCTCCTCACCAATTCGGCTTGTCAAATTGCGACCACTTCGTCCGTTCTTCTCACCTTCCTCACGGCTTTCCTCCTCGGACGAGGCAGCCCTCATCACTAGCCCACTCGAACACCGGCATGCTCGAGATCTCAACCAACTTACAGAAGGCGGCCTCTCCTAAAGTTCATGCAAACGTGTTTCTCCTGTGAATGTGTGACTATTCCTGAAAGTGTATGGAGATGCGAGAGAGAGAGAGAGAGAGAGAGAGAAAGAGAGAGAGAGATGCTGTTTCCAAACCATTCTTCATAGCTTAATCTTCGAATCTCCCCGTGGATATAGAGGCTGAATTTGCGTAGATATGACTGGGAAGTGTCGTGCGTACAATAACGTCTTGTATACCGTATGGATTCATATAGTGCGTTCAATGTCTGCACCCCTTCACAATGGATTTGTGTGATGAGTGCTTCCGCCTCACGTCTGGCCTCAGTGCATTTAAACCTGATGGCTCTATTAGTTTCCCGGGGGATTTTTTTTTTCGACAGAAAAAGCTTAGATTTTCGCTCATCCCTCCCTCTTCGGCCATTACAACAGCCACCAAAAAATGGGAATCCATGAGGACTTCCAGAATTCCTACATGCCCTCCATACAGGAAGAGGCACAGTGCATCACTCACGAGTTGATAAAGATTCTTCCATCCGTGACTGACGAGGATTTGCCTCTACCTCAGGGTTCCTCTCTCATCCTCAATCCTCAACTGTGTTGTAACAGTCTGAGCACTATGGACATTCTTTCTCTCTTAGTAACTATTAGAATAGGCTGTGAGAAGAGAGATTGCTGTGGTGTGCCCAACTTACAACGTAGGTCGAGGAATCCAAGGATGATCATTGATCCTATTCAAGCATAACCGGTGACTGTCATTTCTGACTGCCTCTGCATTTCTCCTGGTGGGATGCCGTGATGATCCCAGTACGATGTATTCGCCCTTTTTTTTCCACGTTCGAATAAAGTTGCGCTTCACGTGGAAGTCCAATTGCAGCGCAGACATTGTATCGCTTCCAGTCGGCACAACAACATTATGTCAACGTTGAGCAAGGATTGATTTTCCAGCGTAGCAATGTTGCCACAAAGTTGTGTAAAAGGTCGATTAAGTGTTACAATAATATTGAAACGAAACACAGTTCTACATTGGAAATAAAAAATATGAATTAGAATCCTCGTTGATTTTTTGAACCACACACCTGATTCTGTCCAGCAATGGAGTTGCGTGTTTGGTATCTTTCAGGCGATCTCCCTCCTTTGCTGAAAAGAAGCCAGACGCACCCTCGAAGGGAAACGACGATGTCCTTCCATCTTAAAGTGGAATTACGTGAACTCGCTCTAAAATTAACGACGTTAAGTAAAGTGGGAAGCTTTTGGATGTTCCCTCGGACTGCCGGACCAGCAGTGCCTGGATTCTCCTTCTGTTGGGTTACCTCTTCATGCGGATCCACCCAGGGATTCCAAAGTCTTCCCTTAACCCTTTCAATGCCGGCATCGGCGTGCCTTTTCTGCTAAATTGCCAGCCTCGATCTGATCGACGCATCGATCGGTTTTGGTCAGGGGGTTCGTATATGTTCTAATAGATGGTACATTTTGACACCACATAAAGGAATACCGCTTAATGAAACACCATTGCACGGTCCCAATTTACGGTACGATACAGCAGATAGTTTCGGTTATTGGAATACTCCGGATTATAGAATAGAGCTTGGTGGTCCCGTGAGCATTCCAATATGCGGAGTTGACTGCATTACCATCTGGTCTGTGAGGTAGAGGGAGCTTGTCCTAACAGCTGGCACCTTTTTTTTCAGGACGTTCAGTTATTGGAAGAAAATAAGTTAAATGACCTCGGCACTGAAAATTGTTCGTGGTTAAAGATCGCGTACAGTATACAAATACAGGGGGTTCGTTCGCGAGGCATCAAGGCGAGAATCGTAAAATCTACTGTTCTGCAGCATCTCGCATTGGCCGTTAGAACAAATTTTCTTTTGAGAGTGTGCTGATGATTCAACATATCCACAATGTTAATATTGGTTTGCTGGGACTCTTTGTTAAAACAACATTGAGACTATGGTGAAGGCGTATGTGAGAAAAACTTTTTTTTACAATGACCTCCAAACGAGGCTGTTGATTCTTCGTTGATTGACTTCAACCATTTCTAAACATTTTAACCTATCGCCATTGTCGACATTTTGTTATTGTGCAGAATGGGTTGAACTTCGACGCAACCTAGGAAACTTGCACTTCGCTTAATTGCCATATTCATTGAGCAATTTCATTGTCTAATGAATATGTGTGCGTCCCAGTCCAAAAGATAGGCAGAAAAGCAATCAGTAGGCCTTCTGCAAGATGGACGGACTGCTTAGGAACCCTGAGCAGGATGCTTGAGTGCCTGTCTTATCACAACAGCTGTTTCTTCTCGAATCCACCTCACTCCGCATACCATTACCAAAAATGAAATTTCCTCTTCCAAGAACCTTTCCTCAGCCCGCGATGACTATTATCCCATTTCCCGAAACTCATGATTGAGGAGCAGCCCGTCAGTAGCTCCATAATTGATCTGAATTACTTAGACCTTGAAAGTCTAGTTCACCGGAATGGCTCCTAGCTTTTTGTGAAAATGATTATTTCTTCAAATTAAGAAACCGCACGACATTTCGTAAATTGTTGCACTTCCGGGGGTTGAGGCGCCGTCATAACCTTTCCATGATGCAAGAATCAATGTCACCCCAAAGTCTGACCAAAGACACCTTTTAATGCAATATCAATCAATAAGAATCATTTAATAAGATGTCTCGTAACAACGGAGTATAGAACCAATGGAACTCAAAGAATGAGCAAGATTGAGGGGGTAGAAGCAGAGAGAGAAAGAGAGGGTGGGGGGAGGGAGTGAGGAAAGCAGCAGGTAATGTTCTGGGTGGGTCTCAGTTTAGAAGGGAAGAAGTTAGTTCGATGTAAAAGGCGGAGGCTAACCCTTTCAGACCTGAATCGAAGCCACGATCGGAAAGAAATATTTGCGAGTTTGCGAGCATGATTCAACTGACAGCTAGGGGGCTTTCCACAGAGTACAGTCGTGCAGAAAAGTGTCTACAGTGATGGGCTATGGGGCCGCAACTTCACAAAAATCACGAGAAACCACAATAGGAGATGTGGTGCCCATTTGAGTAGATGCAGGGTCCGAGAGGGTTAATAAGAAATTCAGAAAGAAAGATGACATCCTTCTCAAACTCAAGATTGCAGGAGTCTAAACTTGGTTGTACAGGGACCTTAACATTGACTTTTTATCCCTGATTAATGGTGTATTCTCCAGTATTCAAGGATCAAAGTTCGGACAGGGACGTCAAGAGGCACTTCAGCTCGTTAGGACATCCCGTATCTAAGTCGAGCGTTCATGTATCACAAGATAGGTCGCAGATAGATATATTTGCGGGAGCATATACACCTACTGCCTAGAAACTCACATCTACATTGCTTCCTCTTAAATGCCCGGGTGAGATCCCCCTCGTTAACATTCTCTCTAGCGTGTACAGTCCTAATACTTTTAAACGCCTCACATAACGGAAATTCTCTTACCTCTTCATTCTCGTAGCCAGTCCCTGGACACTCTCGAGAGCCGTTAGCTCACAATTATTTGCAGGCGTTTCTCGATGCAATTAGTTTTCGGAGCTTCTTGACTCCATCCAGCAGTGCGGGATCATTTGTTGGAACATAAAATTTCAGTTTTATTGGCTTTTGAAACAAAATTTCCTTCCTAAACTCGCTGAGCAGAACCTATGGTCTCAAAATCACTGTCGTCCCCAGACTATTCTGATTCAATTACGAGGAACAGTTACTTTTTACCACTTGGATTTTACGCTTTTGCATATGATTCCAAAACCTTTCTATGGGATATCCTATGAATGTGTGTCAAAATCAGGTGAAAACGGTCTCAATTCAACTGATAAGGCTGGAGCATGTAATTGTGGCAACCGCGGATGGGAATATGGCGGTGCGCAGGGGGATGGACGGACCAAGAAATGAATCTCAATCCCCTTCAACCCGAGCCCCAAAGGGTGGGGAACAATTTAACCGTCAACATTCCAGCGAGTCTCAATGGAAATCCCGTCGTCCCATACTGGACTTGATTGAAAACTCCAGCTCTATCATCTGGAATTCCTACTGTGAGTCCTAGTGCCCAAACGCTCCCATGGCTTTGATCATATATGTAGTCTGTTTTTTCCTCGCTGGGGCAGAATACTCGATGAGGCTGCCCATCCCACGCAGGTTTTCACTCTGGTGGTAGTACCCAGAATAATTTAATTCTCACGAAAGTCCTAAGTTGAACCTGTTCCACTGTGGGTTAATTTGGTGCATTTATTCCCAATAACTTTAGGACTCTGTAAAGAAAAAAAAGGAAGAAAAGCTATTTAAAAAATAGAGAAAATAAGATATTTTAAATAAATAAAAGAAAAACGTAAATTTTCACATTCTTATGAATGGCCTTCAATGTTTGTTTGGAATGTGGGGTATGTGTTAGCCTGTAACTATCATCCTTGACTAACTTATTTTCCAGTGTATCACCTTCAGCAAGCAGCACCTTCTCCACGTGCAGTACTATGTGAAGAAGAGGGTGATTCAAGGACCCATCCAATCTATGGAAGAGTTTTTCATGGTTCCCTCGGAGCAGGAAAAGCAGAGAAGCTTCTTGGCAATCAAGAAGGTGCATATCTTGTCAGAGAAAGTTTGTCTCAGCAGGGAGCTACTACTCTTAGCTTCAGGTGAGAATCATGGAACATCACTTTAGCAATATAATGCAATATATAGGCATAAGAGAAGTTCATTCTTGGCGCCATTCATGTCTACATCCTGAAGACTTTATTTAGGACTTGGATGTATCAGGCATAAAAGTATAATTTTGCAGATTTCAGATTTTAATGTTGAAAATGTTCTTGGCCCAAAAAAAGTGAGGCCAACTGTCACGTTTCATTGACTGCAGCATCAACAAGTGGCACCACTGTCTTGAGTGTGTAGTACAACAGCAGGGAGGACACATCGAACATCACATGCTTGTGTAAATGATACTGAATGGTAGGCTTTGTCAAACTGTTTTTGTGATATTTTGAATCTTCATTATTAATATGTATATATAAAAATTTGCAATGGCCTCACTTTTTTTGGGCCACCCAGTTGGTAATTCTCAAAAGTGCAGAACTGTAGAGGAGTAAAGTTTGCTTTTAATCAAGCTACCCTGCCACTTCTATTAAACATAATGAAATAACACTTTCACCATTCAATCATAGCGTGACTCTTGTTACATTGTGTCAGTATTAGCATTTTGACAATGTTGGGCAGTAATAAGTAACAAGTTACTTTGCAGGGACAAGTAAAAGAAACAAAAACTAGTTGTTATTGGCTCAAATTAAAGTAAGGGATATTATTGAGGTGCATTTCTTATTGATGACAAGATTATCACATAGAAATGAACAACTCTTAGGTCTATCATAGCCCAGTGTGGTGTCCCTGGGCAAGTGCATATTGAAGTGTGATCAACAAAAGGGACTGCTCTGCTGAGGAGCCCACTGTGTCAAATGAATAAAGACTCATTCTTCATTGGAGCTTGCTCAACTTGCCTATTTGTTTTTTTTTGTGCCTTTTTTGCATTGGATTGCAGGTGCAATGGTGTGACAAAGCATTATCATCTCTACTATGGAGGAGGACAGCATTATGTGGGAGGGAAGAAATTTAGCACTTTGGAAGATCTGGTGAGGGAGGGTCTCATCACCTTGTTTTTGGAGGGGAGAGGAGCTGAGCAATACATTGATGGCATGTATAAGACAGCAGATTATGCATGCAGTCCATATCAGACTCTGAATCATGCAAAGAGGGAACTGATATTGAAGCAAATCAATACTGCTTCCAATGGTCATGTTGTGAGTGGAAACCACTGTTTCTTGCTAACTGTGTTGATATATCTCATTGATACTATTCATCTTCCTTCCAGAAAAGCAAAGATGTTGAGGTGAAAGATTATGAAAAACCTCATTCCTATGAGATGCATTCCTTCAAGGGTTTTGTATGGTGTGATATATGTGGGAACTTCCTCTGGGGTCTTCTTGCTCAGGGTGTCAGGTGCCTAGGTGAAGTTTATTGATTGTTCTCATCCTTCATACCCATTACTTCACAAAGTCACCAGCTGGTCTAATTCCTTAATATCTTTCCACATATATATTTGGATTGGAAGATTGTGGATTGTCGGCACACCACAAATGCAGTGAGAAGGTCCCAAATGACTGTTTGCCTCAACTACGTTTTCTCCGTGGTGTATTTGGAGTGGATCTCACAACCCTTGTGAAAGCTTACAACAGGTGCTCCATCTTCTCCCTCTTCATTCAAATTTCCTGGTTTATGTCTTGTCAACCACTTTGGCTAATGGTTTGTGTTGCAGACCTCGGCCATTCGTAGTGGATCTTTGTGTGAAAGAGATAGAAGAGCGAGGATTGGATGTGGAGGGACTCTATCGTGTGTCTCCATCTAATGATGAATTAGACTCCCTGAGACTGACCTTTGATGAAGGTATGAGACTCCTGGTGATGTTGAGAATTGAGACATATCAGGCATCTGCAAGGTAGTCATTCTTTTCTAGATGGAGAATCAACAGACCTCAGCATCTATTCAGACATTCATGTGGTAGCAGGACTCCTGAAGCTTTACTTTCGCCTCCTTCCTATACCTCTCATCCCCTATGACGCCTATGACAGGATCCTTCATGCCATCCGTTTGTACCTGGTTTTTCTTACTCTTTATATGCTTATCCTTTCTTTTCCAGAAGTTAGGTCATACAAAGTCTTTGTATGACCTGATCTTTGTTTTAACAGGTTTTTATTCTTTGCTTGCTGGTATATCATCTGTTTAAGCCTAGCAGTTGTATTTATTTGAATTTTCCCCTCATCATGACAGGGGATGAGGAGAAGGATGAAGGGGAAGGGAAGAGGAATGGGAAGATGCTACTAGTGCTACGAGATTGTGTCCATGATTTCCCTCCTGCTCACTTTCACACAGCCAAGTTCCTCATGGCCCATCTTGCTAAGTGTGTATTATTTTTATTTTTGTGCCAGCACAGATTTAGTGTAATGGACAGAAATGCACAATTGTGATTGCTAAGTTCAAGGGTTCCCAACAGGTTGCTCTTATGGTTGAAAGTGCTGCACTTGGCATGAACATAGATAAGAGGGAAGGGGAAAAACAATTGCCAACTTTCCCCTTTGCTACATGATTCTGTTCATAATTCACCCATGTAAGACTGGCCTCTTTTGTTCTTCAGCCCTGAATTCATATAGCAGCCTGCTTTTACAACTGAAATAGTTTATCTTCAAGCATAGGACAGTTATGAGGACAGGTGACAGATTCTTGTAAGGAACAGTGCTGTAGAGTTATGGTCTCTGACGACATCTACATCACTCTGCTCATCAGCAATGACTGTCAGATCCCTAGTTCTAGGTCATTTCTTTGAAAGACACTTCTTAGACAGGCACTTCTTCTACCCCACTTCTTTGACTGGACACTTCTTCAACTGGACGCTTCTTTGAAAGGCTTTCGTTGGAACATCCAGTCGAAGAAGTGACCTGGAACCAGATGCCTCACTGACGCATGGCAAATGAAGTATGTGGATATCAATGCTTTTGAATTTCCCTTGCTGAGTGTTACCACAGAAAATTTCAAATGAGATATATTGATGTCCTTTACCACATAGACCTTTGCCACTGCACACCATTTTTACCATATGTGAACCCACTGCTAGAAGCCAAAAATGATGAATTCCCTGGGTAGTTGGTAGGAGTGTCTTGATGGCTGTTTTGAAAACACCAACCCAGAACTATCAATGGTGTATCAAAACATTTGGGAAATTACTTTCTGCAGTTCCTGTTCCACATTTTGCATGTTCACTCTTTTTATTGCATTGAAAAATTCCAGTGAAATTCACTGAGGAGATATGCAATCATATTGCTGCCAAAAAGTAATTTTAGGAATAAGCTGTCAGGTTCTACCCATGAAAAATTTTATTTCTTCCTTGAATCATTTACAGCAGTGCTTATCTGTAGTCCACCCTGACAAGCATAATAATACCATTTTAAGAATGGACAACACAGTTCTTCAAAATAAAGTTGCACCTTATTGTTTTAGGAAATTTTCATATTTTATCCTGGGAATATGCAGAATAAACTATTTTTGCCAGGAGGAGGAACTTTATAGCTAGCAATGCAAGTTTTTTGCTGACTTTGGAATTGAGAAGGGGAAAGGTAAGATATCTAATGATGTCAGAGGGAGGAAGGTAGACTGACTAAGGTAATGAGGTAAGTTTCAAATAAGCTGGTTTTTAAAAGGCTGGTGTAGATCAAATAATATGATACTCCTTTACAGAAATTGAGTATATTTATCATTTAAAAAATCGGCAAAGAGCAATATTCCTTATAAGGGGAGGAAGATGGTGGCTATGTCTCAGCCATCAGAGAGAGTGTTATTTGAATGAGTGGGATTTTGCATTATCCAGTGTGATATCTATAAAATGTCAGAAGGTAGATGCAGTCTATGCAGGAATTTAGGGAAAAGATGACTGGCCCGAATGCTGAAACCTTTAGTTAATGGTCCTATGAAAATACATGGACTCCAATGGAAGAAAAAGGGCTCTTTTGCTTAGAGGCCCCTTTATCTCTGCTAAATTAGGTTTGTGCATATGGGTCTAAATGTCTGCCTCAGCACTATTGACCATTTTGATCTGATTTTCCATGTGTGAGACAGTCCAGTTTACACTTCAGGGCCATGAGGATGGATGGCATTTGCCATCCCCTGCAGAGAGGTGCAAATGAAAGTTCACCTCCTTGACAAACATGTCACTCCACCATTGCTTTGAATGAGGTTTATTGATGGAGAAGATAATCCTTTTATGAAATAAAAATTAACACTTTCAGGCCTTGACATTTAAAAAGGCTCTATCATCAAGGCCTAGGTTTTCTTTTTTAAGTTGCAGATCTTTCCATCCCCATTCACATTATAATTTCCTATCTTGTTGATAATCATTAAAAGAGTATTCTGATTCAAGGAATGCTTTTGAATCTTGAAAAAATTCATTCCATTTCTTCTCAGTTTGACTTACAAAAATGTATAACTACAAGTCCTAAACCTACAAGGCTAACATTACAATGTTAGCCTTGCAAAATTATGAGGAAAAGTAGGTCATATTTTGCAAAACCTGTCATGAATCACATTTTGTTTGTTTTGCAAGTGTAATTCACACAAATTGCTGTGCCTCTACAGCACACGGGCTAAGGCCATGTCTAACGTGTTAAGGTTTCCTTTAGAGCGCAAGTTCTATCTATACTTCATGATCACCTCAATTTTGTAAGAGCAATGAAGGTCATTCATGATCCCACAGTATTCACAGTGTGTCTTCATGCCCCAAGAATGATTGTACTCAAAATGTTGATATTAATTACCCTTAGTTTTGAGTAGTAGAGAGATAAGGAAACTAACATAGAATATGGTTAGCAAGTTGTTCAGACAATGAAGGATGTTTTCCATGGTAAAGTGACTCGTGGGAGCATTTTTTAAAATGACAAATGATGAATTCATTAATGACAGTTTTGGGGGGGTTTTTTGGAACAGCGTGGCAGAGTATTGTGAAAAAAACCGAATGACAGCAGGGAACTTGGCGACTGTGTTTTCTCCAACTCTCATGAGGTCCCCAACAGCAACTCCTGCTGAGGGACTTGCATCTGTTCATCTGGAAAAGGCTGTTATGGAAACATTCATTCAGCATCATCAACAACTGTTCTCCTAAAGTTCCTCAGTCTACAACTGAACTATTTCCTGGATCTACGAATTTTCCCTGCAGTTTTCCTGCTCTTGCTGCAACTTCTGCTTCTTCCTTCAGATATATATCTCTTCCATGTTTATTTCATTTCCTTTGTTTCTTCTTCAATCATTCTCCTATGAGTTTTGTGTTCATGCTATGGTACCAGTGCAATGTTGAACTCCAACTGCCACTGATTTCAACTTTTTCTGAATTCTCCCTTCTGTGATTAACTCCCAATGTGTTATTTGCAATTTATTTTTGAATCTCAGAGACTTTGATTCCAGTTCCTCTCATATTTGAAGGACACAGGTGTCTAGTCATTTGTTTGTTTCCTCATTGGCTTTCATATCATCTGAGAATCATTTATCAGGGTCATCGTTTACCAGCACCCACTACATGCGCTAAGTGTAGTTTCCTTGCAGTTCCAGTGCCTCATTTGGGACTGCATATGGTTGGTGGAGTTGAAAAGGTGGAGGACTTTCCATGTCTTTCCCAGTTGCCTTGCTCTTGTGATCCATTAATTTCTCTCTTTCCCACTGCCGCTGTGCTTTAGGGCATAGCTGAATTTCTCTCTTTTTCCCATCCCTGTGGAATTTTTCATTGTGATATTCAGCCATCATCCAAGGCTTTCTTTGATGGGAATTTCTATGAATTATCTTATATGCAGTACCTGTGCTAAATATTTGTGTGAATCATATTTGCTTCATTTGACATGATTTGTGTTGCCCTTTGTGAAACATCATGCGTTGTTGAAGGGCATCCTTGCATATTTATTTATTTTTGCTGGTGAATACTTTGTTTCAGCAATAATAGCTTTCTTCTGCTTGAATCAATTGAGGTCTTTTGAGGAAGATGAAAATTAGGGGTTTCATGCAAGTTTTCATGGATTCATATATATATATGTGTGCATTACCTGCATTGGAGTTTTCATTGGGACCAAAAGCTTACTTTACTAGATTCAAATTTATGGCCTTCCATGACATTGACAGTCATAGGTACTGTTCCTTCCCTTGAGATGTGATATTGTTCCAAAGGATTTCCTCCCACCACACATTGTTTTTTGTTTTTTTTTTATAATTTGTCTCATTGCTTCCCCATATATATTTTATACCTTTTCTGCAAGATATTATGGATGCAATGAAATATGAATAAAGAGAATTCATAGATAAGAGAATGAGTGCATTCTTTGCTCTTGCAGTTAAAGTTGAAGGAGAGGAGTTGGCATTTGGATTTCGTAGATGAATCGATAGGTTGTTGGTAATGAATCATTGAGCATAAGCGTGAGGGGAAGGCTATCATGCATGATGAAAGTCGTTCAATAGTCCTGCTCCTGTGTTTCAGTCGTAGCCCTGTGATTCACCCTATCCCATACACTAGAGTGCCTATGCGTCCATTTTGTGCTACCCTCACCCCAACACCTCGTCTTACCTCGGTAGATTGAATGAAATTGCAGTAAATCGGTTGATTAATCCTTCAGAGTCTGACGAACGAGCTGGGCTCGTGCGTCAGAGACCGAAGGGCTACAAGATACAAAGGATGCAAATAGGCAGGTTTTTTGGAACGTAGAAGCGTACTAATGGAATGTAACATACCGGAAGGACATGTGCTCCCCTTTGATTTATCTTCTTCAATGCCACCGTTCGGTGATGAGGCTGAGTAGAGCATTAAAAATATATAAAAAATATATATATATAATCCTATTGCCCTTCCAGTGATTTTCGCAAGTGTGCCGATTTTCCTGGCTCTGAAACATCCTCTCTCCATATATATAATCCTGAACACCCTCCAGCCAGACAAACCAGAATGTAGTATACCCGAAAACGAGGAGGCAAAACCTGAAGAAACTCCACTTCAGGTTCCACCG